TGACATCCCTGTTTGGGGGTGGGGCTTGCAGGCCCGTAAAAATGGGGGAATACCCTCTTGGATCTGGGGATTGGGAATCCTACTCCTCCCATGCTGATCCAGAGCTGCTCACCACAGTTGAATTCAACTTGCAACAATAGCTTGGCCTCTGCATTGTGGACGTATTGAAGTTTACTTGCAGGTTTACCAAGGGACCCCATATAGAGCACCTTACAGTAATCTAACCTGCATTCTGAACATACTGTAGTTTACATCTTGTACCCAGAGCCATGATAATACCTGTTTTCCGTAGGTACAACTTGGGTCCGGAGAGCCCATACCCAAACCAATATACCGAATGTCTCAAGGCTGCTGTCCATTTCATGAAGAATCCCGAAGATTTCGGTGTGGATCCCAGCCGTATTATCATTAGCGGGGACAGCTGCGGGGCCAATTTTGCAACCCGCATTTGTCAGTTGCTGGAGGACAGGACAGATCTCCCCAAAGTGCACGCGCAAGTTTTGATCTACCCAGCCCTGCAGGGGGTGGACTTCTATCTGCCTTCCTATCAGCAGAACAGAAGGGTGCCAATCATGTGGCGAGAATTTGTGGTCTATTTCGCATGCCTGTATCTTCAAAAGGATGTGTCCCTTACTGCTGACGTCTTGGAAGGTTGCCATGTTCCTGAAGACCTGAAACAAAAGTACAGTAAGTGGGTGAGCGGAGACCTTATTCCTGACGAATTCAAGGTCCGAGGCTACAAACCCCAGGATCCTTCCTTGTATAAGTTTAAGCCCCAGGTATACGAACAGATCAAAGAAGTTTTGGACGAAAACTTTTCTCCCCTGTTGGTGGAAGACGCCGTCATCCGCAAACTCCCCCAGACGTACATTTTGATCTGTGAATTCGATGTGGTTAGAGACGATGGGCTCCTGTACAAGAAACGTTTAGAGGACAACGGGGTGCCCGTGACACTGTGCCACACTGAGGGTGGCATCCACGGAGTCCTCAGCCTTTTTGGCTATGGCATCTTCTCCTTTCCGTCTGCAGGACTCATGGTAAAGGACATCACAGAGTTTCTCAAAAGCTTATGATGAAGCGCAAGCAAAACCAAAAGAGGTTGACAGGATCACCGGGTTCTGCTGTCTGGAATAGTGAGCCCGTGGTCCAACCCCAAACTAGTCTGAAGAGGAAGCGATAGCTGGTGTCCACACGATACGGTGAAGAGCAAAGAGATGGTCCACCGGCCTCTTTTTATTTTCACAATGGCCCTGGGAGGTAGGTTAGGCTGAGAGAGA